AGAAGAGTGGGAGCCCCTAACCACTACCCCATTCCCTATATTGCCTGTGGATGTTACAATTGTAGACTTTCATCTATTACTTTTCCATTCTACTAGAACTAAGTGATTATTACATATTTGACTGTACCTTTTCTTAAATTCATATTTAAATTGCAAGTAAAGAAGGAAAAGAAATCAACAGATTTGCAAAGGATGTTTAGTAACAAACATTTCATTCATAATAACCTCAATAAAACTGCCTCTATAATAATAAAGCATACTATGCTAATTAGACCAGACATCCTTCTGGATGACCACCCAGATGAAGCTGGGGCTGCAAGGGAAGCCCGGGTCCCGAGTGCTGGAGGGAAGCTGGTGCCAGTAGCCGGGGGAAGGAAGGCCTACTCTTGCACAAATTTTGTGCATCAGGCCTCTAGTTTGTTATAAAAACAATTTTGACTTAAACCTAAACCAACTGTGCCTATTTTTAGTTTTCCTACCCTCTACTTCCCACACCTAAAAGGACCTATGTCTCTTTCTTTTATTTGTTGGGCCAGACAACCTGAAGGGAGCACTCTCATTCCAGTATTTTTCATGCATGTACAGGTAGGACTCAAGGTTAAAGTGGAACCAAGATCTCAGAGAAAAAAATCTAAAAAGAATTGCTTCTCATTAGCTTCAGTCTCATTTTAAATATGAGCCCGAGAAAAAAAGAAAACCAAGTGTGGGAATAAGTATTTCCACCTAGAAGACACACTCAGATTAAATGGGTTACCTATAACCACTGGGTATGTTTAAAAGTGTATGACTCTCCTTAATTAGCTATGCCCTATGTTAAAATATCATCATGTACCCTAAGAGATAGTGGCCATTCATGTAAGTAGTTGCCTTAATTCTGTCATCAGTCCTCCTAACAAAGTTGTCTAGGTCTAGCTCTCCACATCTCCATCTATTAACTCTCAGTGAAGACCTTTACAAGTTCCAGTTCTTTCTGGAGTGGCTAAGGCAAGGATTTAAATTATATTACTTATCTATCACTTAGTCTTTAAATATAATTGCTAATTAAAATCAGTTATAATATAAAGAAAATACTATTTTAGATGTCATATATTTGAGTTATTCTAAACTTAAGTTATATCCTAAACTGTATTTGTTTGAATTCCCTTTAATATTCAAAATATTCTTATAAATAGAAGACACTGGTCAATTCTTGAATTTTAAACAATTTCTCCTTTTGATTATCTGTGAAGATTAATTAGTGAACCTCAAATATTTTTACAGATATCAAGAATGCCTTTATTCTTCAAGATCCAAAACATGAATGGATTTGTGCCACAGAAGCTGAAGATGACAAGTTCCTATGGTTGTCAGTTCTCCTAAATGCAATAAAAAGTACCATGGAGAAGTGAGGCTGGACTTTAAGAAAACATCAGGGCTGCCAATTCTCCTGGCAAAGATAGACATGTATTTTTTTGTCCCATGCGAGGACGGTCCATAAGTTTTCTCCTAACTTTTAAACTTTATCATCTGTGTTCAAGTATGTGAAATGCACAATAAGTTGAGTCCAAAATTTTGAACCACCTCTTTTGGTAGTTATTTTTCATGGACACTATTAGATAGAGTTACCTAACTAACAAAACCTAAGACAGAACAAGCATATTGTATATTTAAAGTTTTCTTTTATGATCTAGTAAAAAAATAAAATCAGAATTAAGTTTCTTAAATGACCAGTCGGCCGTGGTCGGCAAACTGCGGCTCGCCAGCCACATGCGGCTCATTGGTCCCTTGAGTGTGGCTCTTCGTAAGCCTTAGGAGTACCCTAATTAAGTTCATAACAATGTACCTACCTATATAGTTTAAGTTAAAAAAATTTGGCTCGCAAAAGAAATTTCAATCGTTGTACTGTTGATATTTGGCTCTGTTGACTAATGAGTTTGCCGATCACTGGTCTAGAGAAATATTTCAATTTGTTGATTTATCAATCATCTTTAACATTTTCATGAATTATTAATTTAAAATATGTATAGGAAATATAAATGGCAATTCACTCAGTAACTTGTCACATATATCCTTAATATAAAAATATACCACTACAAAGTACTAAAAAGTTTTCTGTAGTTTTTAAGTGTTCTTTGATTGCCAAATAAAATTCTTAGATCTTCCAAATAAAAAGCTTTAACATTTGGTGACATTATTACATTGAAAAGCTGCTGGAAAACAACAACAGTTTTAAAAAAGTAAAAAATGGAAGCCTACCAAAACTTACCTGTAATGGAATTTAGTTGAATAAAAATAAGGAAATGAAGACAAGTCTACTTCAAAACAGAGAAACAGCAAAGTAGGTGTTGAGCAGTTTTCTGGGCCGTTCTTTAAAGTCTTCATTTATGTATTTAAAAACTGAAGCCATAACCTTTTAGGTACTTGGAAACTTTAGCTGATATATATAGTAAAAATATTTTTATTTAGTTAATGGTAGATAAAAGGTATATTAATCTAGGAAGCTTTTGGTTGTCAGCTTCCTTTTAGTTTCATATTCTCCTGTAAGGTAATACAATCTATTAGTACACTATAGGATTGTGAACTAGGCTATTTGAAACATTTTCTTTTTTTCAACAATGAAAATATAAATTTATTCTAATTATTAAAAATTTAAATTCTTGTTAAAAATTGTATAAAACTTTGAAAGTTTCATTAGTGTAAAACCACACTTTTGATTCAGTTATGATATATCCATGTAGCTTACTATGTATGATCTCACAGACAGAATAAACCATTAAAGGGAACATCTGCCATTAGTCAGCAGTGAATATAAATTTACAAATTTGACCAAATGTATATATATATCATGTGGTCTGAAACAAATCCTAAGACAATATATCATCATAAATAGGGCACACTTAAGAAACCCCGTTAATAGGAAAAACCTGTCTACATGGCAAAAGAGTGACAAGACAGCCGAAGATAAACTAGAAATCCTAAGACATTTCTATTTATTTTGTGAATAATTAATGTCCTCAGAAGTTTTAAAACATATTACTTGAAAATAATCTCTGTAGAGACTGATGAGTATAAGCTTTTAACTGAGAGTTAAGTGTATAAGGCATGCAAAAAGCAGTGATGTTTGCAAGTGGATGGTACTTAGGTTGTTTGTGAAAGTTCAACATTTTCTCTTCAACTTTTAGGGTATCTACTTACATAAAAATCCTGGGTTAACATCACGGCCAGATGAGCGACCAACTGGAAGGAAGTCAGTCCTGCAGGGGTTGTCTTGGAAACGGCTGGGCCCTCCCCCAGCTGTTTTTTGGAGGGTGAGGTTTCAGGCAGGAACCCACCCATGGAGCAGAGCATGGAAGTGAAATGATTTGTAATGGATCTATTATTGAAGCTACCTTTGGAAATACTGTATCTATACATCAGTGGTTCTCGACCTTGGCTGCACATTAGAATCACCTGGGAATCTTTTTAAAATCCTGATTTCTGGGCCTTATCCTCTGGAAATTCTGTTTCTTTGTTACTAATGTTGTGGCCCCACCCCATAACAAAGAAACAGAATTTTCAGAGGATGAGGACCAGAAATCAGGATTTTAAAAAGATTCCCAGGTGAT